AAGGGCCCAACCTCGGTCGATTCATCCTTGACACTTCAGGAAGTCATTGATGCCATTGAGGACTACATCCAGGATGAGGAAGCGCTCTTGTGGCACGTGCATTCGTCTGATCCGGTGGTCGAATGGGTTTTCTGAGGAGGCGGAGGGCAAGCGAAGGAACATAATATCAACAGGTGTTTATTGAAAGAGCGTTTGTGGCTCCAGCCAATGTAAGCAGATGCTTGAAGTTGATCAGGCCTCAATAGTTGATTTGGCCCATGGCGTGGCCCAATCAAACCTCAAAGCAGGTACTGGATCAGACGTCGGCCATGGCAGGTACACAGAGTTGATCAGATTTGATCACATCAGCAGTTGTTTCCACTTGCCATGCACTACCAAAAATACAATAATAGTAATAGTAATAATAATAATCATCATCATCATCATCATATGTTTTCTCCTTTTCTGTGCGCTTTAGTCGGACATAAGTGTGGGTCCCCGTTTGCATTGTTAAGCAAGGACCTTCTCCATATGCCTCGTAGGGCCTTTTGACCTAGTAGTTTGAAAGGAAAATCCTCCAGCAGCTGCTTGGGACGGGCGGACCAAGAGGCACTGCCGGCATTGCCGACAAAGCCCCAACGAAGTCATCATTAGTCACTCTGCATTGGAAGCACTATGGTGCAAGCGCAAGTCTTGAGCTTGCAGACCTTTGAACGTCAACTAGCTGCATCACAACTGCCTTTGCTCTAGTTTTTCTTGACGTTATTTGTTTCAATCTGCCACAGCTTCGCACATGGAGCAAACGAAGAATCAGGCAATTTTATAAAGTGGAGTCGACAAGCAAGTGTCAACCAGATACAAACTGCCTGCATCACAACTTTGCCCCAGCGATTCTTGCTTCAAGAGCACCACAGGACACAGCACCGCTTGGAATAGACAAAGAAACTGGCAATGATTCCACAGCCTCCTCAACATCCACAAAAAATGCACATCCGTAGCAGCAGTCGTAGTACTGTAACTGTTGTTGTTGCTGTTGGTGGTGGTGGTGGAGACTTGTACAAACGTCCTGAGGCTACTAACACGACCACTGCAACTACTACTGTGCTGTAGTGTACAGTTGTACTATACTATACTGTACTGTACTTGACTGTACTGTACTGTACTGTGCTGCTGCTGCTGCTACTACTACTATTGTGGCTGAGGGGGGTTCAGCAAAAACCACGGGTCGTTTGTTAGAAGTATTTTTAAGTCTGAGAACATGGCAGTGTAGTTCCGGCTTTGGTGTTGTTGTCTTCTGTGAGTTGCGGAGTCTCTGGCAAGTGACCTGTTGCTGATTTTCAACCTTCGCCATTTACCCACCATTGTTAGTACTTGCCACAAAAACTACTACTACTACCTGTGCGTTACCTGTGTGCCATTACTGTGCTGCTGCGCTGCTGCTGCTGCTACTACTACTACTACTCCTCCTCCTGCTGCTGCTGCTACTGCTACTGCTACTGCTACTGCTACTGCTACGACGACGATGACTACTACTGCGACTCCCACCACGCCTGCTATTGCTACTTCCTACTGCTTACTTTCGTGGGACTACGAACAGTGGCGGCAAATAGAAAGGCTATGCAAAGATGGAGGCGGGGTGAAGTGAAAGGTCTTGGCTTGTTGCTGCGGGCAAGTGCTTCTTTTGACTTACTGTCCTTTTGGAACCTCATGGTGTAACATATAGAATGGTGCCAATGTAAACCTGCTGCCAACTGCTTGACCTTATGCACCAAGCCTGTCGCCATAAACCAGAGAAGGGTGCCACTAGGAAGTTCTTGCGTAGATTAGAAGCAGCCTTGAAGAAGGTCCTGAATTTGAAGCGCACTGGCCAAAATATGTTGAATCCCGGTGGGTCATGCGCCTAGATGTTTTGAAGAGAGCTCCTTCGGAGACATTGTGCCACACATGAACCAGTGCAGCGCGGAAGTGAACCGTGGGTTGCTTGTTTGGGTCAATGGGTTGAAGTACAAGTCTGGACAAGAATCAGCAACCGGCAACAACTGCCTCATCTCTTCTCTTGCAAGTGCAATGGCCTTGTCCAACTTGCCCGTTGGTGCAACACGGAGTCACTGAGTTGAAACGCCTCTTCCAAGATTTGGACGGTTTGCGAGTCTCGGAAAACAACTGTTTGACTTTCACTGGGCAAGTGCGGTGGTCCATCCTTTTGGTAGACCCAAGCGATTTTACACTCGTAGTCGAAGTCTTGGAAAACTCTTGGCAACATGGCGTGGTCCATGGAAGTGGCCCCAGGCAGGTTGTGGTGGAGAATGTCGGCAACTACCATTTGCATGCAGCCCTTCGTGTTGTGACACAGAAGATGTGTACAAGGAAAAGGTGTGTGGATGCAAGCCGGGGGAGGCTGCCACAATATACTATAGAGCAAAGAAGGGCGCCGCTAAACAACGTAGACCAGCGATGGGTGATATATAGACCAAAGAAGGCTAGGTAAACCAGAGATGGGACACTGTAGACCAAAGAAGTCAACCACTAAACTAGGAAAAGGGGTTTGTCAGTGCGTGACCTGCGCGGTGGTGAAGAAGTACTGCAACGTGTGTGTGTGTGCGTTGGCTTAGTTTGCCTTGAAAAGGACATATGTATGTGTTGAGTATTTCTGGTGGACAAGAGGAGGGTCGTCAACACAATTTTGGTTGTTTTCTGAGGGGGTCAGACCGACTAACAACGGGTTGTTTGTCCTTGTATTGTTCTGATTCTTGTTGTTGTTGTTGTTGTTGTTGTTGTTTCTCCTCTTTGTTGTTGCAGTTGTTGTCTCTTGCCTTTCTCCGCAGCACGTCTTGGATTGTTTAAAAGTGTGTTACTTCTTTCGGCCCAGTGATCAGCAGAAGCAGCTGCGAAAAAGCGACCTCCCGTCCCATACCGTCGTTTTCACGGCTTTGCGCGGGACATCGTAGGCCGTAGGCAAGCCCCCACCGCAATGGCAGTGGCAATGGTTTAAGGCCCAGCAAGCGAACAGGCAATCTGCAAACCACGGCGTTCCATCATGGTTGCACGCGAAACGGCGGCCTCGAAGCACGAACTTACATACCATTGCGCCAGTTGAACGTGCAGATGACAATGCCGTTGATGATGTCGATATTTTGATCGGGTCGTTTTGCTGACGAGTGATTGGTGATGTTTTGGTGGCAGATGACGAATGAAGCACCAAAATCACAAAAGTAAAATGATTATGTTACGTTTGGTGGTGCAAAGCGGGTGGAAACAACTCCTGGCCTGATCCAATCTACGCACCTGCCGTGGCATGGTTTTGATCAACTCTGTGTACCTGCCATGACCGACGTTTGATCAAGTAAGTACTTGCTTTGAGGGCCTATTTGGCCACGCCGTGGGCCAAATCCACTATTGAGGCCTGATCAACTTCAAACTCCTGTTCCTACCCAGTCGGCTCTACAGTAACCGGGAATGGTTTCCCTACTAAACCTGAACAGGTGAAAAAAAGGTCCTTGGTTGCCCAGAGAAACTGGGGGAGTCAGTGCTTACATGGGCTGGAGCCACAACAAAGGTTAAACAAACAAACATTGGTGTTACGATGTTATGTCTGAACGCACCCTCAGAAAACCTAGGATCGTCCCACCGAATCCAGGCATGCCGCAGATGGCGGTTGTTGGCCGTTCGCCTTGCAGGCCAAAAAAACCTGCAAGCATTGGACGAATGCATGGATACATGCAAATGTGATCAAACGATATCAAACGTGTCAATTCCACCATCCAGAAGAAATGCACTAGTCACCAGTCACATGGGCTTGACTCTACATTCCCAATGTTTGTTGCGACGGAATTCATCAACTCACACAGCGGCCAGAGACCTGTAGGATGTAGGCCCCAGGTGATGAGCCTGGTTGCGAAGGATGATCCATATGAGCAGCGCCAATACTGACACTGATATGGCATTATATAACTGCGACACCATTCTGTGAAATTTGGACTGAGTGTGAAGTCAGTTGCGATTTCCATTCATTTGCAGGGCGTCCAAATGTGCATTGGGGGCGCGTTTTGGGGCGAAACTGTTCGATTGTATGTGATCTTCGTGCTGCACTGATCGATGTGGACAAAGACTCCCAAAGGGAGCTGTTTGCCACCCAGGTAGCTGCCACATTTCTCCGGGAAGAAACAAAAAGTTGGCGATGTGAGACATATGTGCAAGTAGTAGAAGGCCAATAGAAAGTTCCTTCCGAAGGCTTCCCAGATTCAGTGTACAGTTGGATCAGTTTGGACCCGTACTTCTTTCACGTTTTTGCCAACGGTTCGGGCAAAGAAAGGATGCATGCACCCCGAGATCGTTCTGTGAACAGCACGCGGAGGAACTAGTGCGGCAAGCAATTGGAGTACGATTTGGATTGCGGCAGACATGTTTTTCTTTTTGAGGGGATATTCGGAATGCGTTGCTTTGTATGTTTGAGGGGGTCTTGCGTATTGCCATGCCAATGTTGGCTGTGTGTCCCGTGTGCCTTTGCGAAGCTGTTGGCCTACGGCATGCCAAAGTGTTTAAAGCGGTCAAGATTCACCAAGACCTCTGGTGTAATCATCCCTACTTCGGAGTGGCCAAGTTCGGGTCTCACGCCCTGCAGATTGATGCAAGAAAACTGGAGACCTAAATTGTATATTCAGCAAGGCTCCTCATGTACGACATGGAGTTGACGCCACAACCTGTCAAGACCGGCCATTCACTGTTCCCGGAACTGTTCACTGTGTTCTCCTTTCTCCTTCCAACTGCAGTGGCTTACTCGATGACGGCCCTGACCATGGTGGAGTGAGTACAGAGCTGTGAAGACCGATCCACCGAAAGGTCTCCGAGACAAGGCGATGCGGTGTCGGTCACGTCTCGAGATGCCGGTTTTTTTCGGGAAACGACATGGAAAGGGACCTGGACCTGGGTGATTTTTCGTGATGCCGTTGGACCAGTGGATTTACTGTATTATTACTATACCATGTTCATCCATTTTCATCCATTTTCCAATTGGTCAGGTCGGAGATGGGAGGGATGTTACGGGATTGGCTTTAAGGCATCATGTCCAGGTGTTTCTGTGTGTACGGACTTTTGCAGCTGATGCTGATGATGCTGCTGGTGGTGGTGACGAGCCGTTGATTTTCTCGATTTCCCACGATTGCTAGTGTACAATTCTCCTGTGTTCATCCAATTGCTCACTGGCTCAAAAGCAGGGTCGCGACTTCATGCGACGACGTGAAAAGAAGGCGGAACTGCGGAGGGGATCCACACCTGGGTCAAAACATCGCAAATCACTCGAGCTGTTTCTTTGCATGTTTTCAGCACGTTCGCTCACAATAACGGCGCTTGCGACTTGTTGCGACGGCGCTTGCCACATCACATGACCGTTTTTCGCGACGGATCGATCATTGGGAGGACCACGCCAAAGCAGCCCTATCGGCGGACCGCTCATCGTCTATCGCTGTTAACAGCTTTGTCACCAGATGCGTGGCGACTGGAGGCTTAGTGGTTTTCGCTGTGGCGAGCGTCCATTGGCAGAGATTGTTATATCTCAATAGTTTGCGGATGTCGAGCTCCCACTCTGTGCTTTGATAGCGTTGGCTGGTGCCCTGAACAACCTGGTGCTGTTGCGTTGAAGGATGTACGATGTACTTTGGCAGTTCCGCTGGTCACGTGACTACATCACTCTCCTAACTTGCACATCATTCCACTGAGGCTGGCCTTTCTTTGGCTCTCCTTGGCCGCCCTGATTTGGACGCACCGAGTGATGGCCACGTCCGCCTTCTGGAAGCCAAGACCGATCTCAACGGCCACGTGGTGGCCACACTGCAGAATCAGGCTTACGGTCGGAGGGCGAGCTTATCGGGCCCACAGGTCTACTTTAAGGAACCTAATAGCCATGGCCTCCAACTCTATAGTAGCTTCTTGTTACCAGTAGCGATGGCCTCCAACCTAATAGCGATGGCCTCCAACCTATTTTTAGAGGGAAGGTTTACTGTTTCCGCTTGTGTTTCGAAAGCTTTCGGGGTGCTTGTCCATTGGGATCCACAGACCATGTTGAGGAAAAAGGCCACTCGTGGTTGCGGCATGTACCGTAAGTGCTCATGGACGTCCCTGTCCACTACCCGAATGCCCGCCAGTCGTTGGGTTCCAATGGAATGGGGATAACGCAGCACATTTGCAGCATGTACATCAGACCTTCTACACGAACACGACTCGGATATCTTCCATGTCCTGGGGGCATTTGGGGGCAAGCATGGCCAACTCCACGGTCATCCTCTCAGGTGTCCCCTCCAACCGTTCCAGGAGTTGGGTTTGAAAATCCTCACCTTGGACCGCTGCATCATTGGAGCTCAGTACCTCCAGGAGGAGTTCCAGGACCAGGCACAGATGGGGAAGACAGCCGGCTCCACCGTTCCAAAGGACCAGCGGCTCCACCCCACGATTCACAAGGCAGCTGATCAATCGAACCACACATCAACTCGCATGTTATATCATGTGTCATCATATCAATGCAACACCACGTCTTAGGACGTTTTACATCAATTTTGTTGTGTTCTTTTTTCATTTGTTTGTTGTGTAAAGACCCGGCGATGCGTGTCACCGGACTTGCGGACTGCACTGTGCTCAAGAGCAGAGCTTGTTCCAAAAACTTAAGAGTGGGAAGATTTGGCGGTGTTTGTTACGGTTTGTTAGAAGAGTCAGAAGATGCCACGCATGTTCAAACCATTGGAGGACTTCAGGCTACAATGCCATGGTGTTGACAGGTTTTGACCCATACACAGTACTGTATGTTTTCCAGGAATCCACTCAGCAAGTCCCATTTGCAACAAGATGCAGCGGCTAGAGTTCTGGCAGTTCAGAGTTCCATCCACAACATCTCCGATATCAAGCAGAGAGAGTTGCACTGTAGAGAATTTCTGCAAATGGAGCCAGCCATGCCGCAAGTCGTGGTACTTGGAAGATCTAGCTCGGATGCTCCGGCGGATGGAAGCTCGCACGAGACGCAAGATGATCAGCCTGATATTCATCATTTGAAGGACTGAGTTTTCACGAAAGCTAGCGAAGCTAGCTGGAGTTACTCTTGCGATAGCAAGGTTTCTTTCGATCGGGTGCAAATCCTAACCCCTGATTTTTCAGGTCGAAGCCCCCCCCCCTCCTCCCCCCCCCCCCCTCCCCTCCCCTCCCTCCCTCCCTCCCTCCCTCCCTCCTCTTCGCAAGTTCGACTCCGTCCTGTCGTCGCTCTTTGGCATGCGGTTAGCGTTGCGTATCTTGCGGCCGCACTCGTTCACTCTCACTCTCACTCTCACTCTCACTCTCACTGTCTCTCTCTCTCTCTCTCTCATCTCTCTCATCTCTCTCTCATCTCTCTCTCATCTCTCTCATCTCTCCCTCATCTCTTTCTCATCTCTCTCTCATCTCTCTCTCCTCTCTCTCTCTCTCTCCTCTCTGTCTCTCGTCTTTCCGTCTCTCTTCTCTCTCTTCTCTCGCAGGAGGATCCGGGCAAAGAGCCACATATAAAGGACTCTTCACCCCTGACTCCAAAAAGAGCGCCGTGTTTTTTCCTACCTCGCTGCCCTCCACTTTCCCATTCTGGAGCGCTAGCTTTCGCCCCCCCTTGGCCTCAAGTGTAGTTTTAACTGCCGGGAAGGGGAGATCGAAAGACATAATTATAAATTATAGAAGACATAATGGAATCCCTAGGCTTCCAACACTCATTAATTTAATAGGCCTTACCGAATCAACTAAGGATTTTACACTACAAAAACCATGTCAACCATTTTTTAAATGGTCTTGGAAGCCTAGGGGAATAACAGCAGTTGATAGATCTGGCAATAAGCAGATAAACCTCAACTAGGATAGTATCCCGTAACCATTAGCCACTTAGATCCATTAAAACTTTAAACTTTAGACCATGCCAACCCCGCGGTGGCGGGCAGCTGGACTGCCAGTGCCTTTCAGAGAGAGAGAGGGAGGAGAGATAGAGTGCGCACCTCAGTGTCCAGTGTTTGAACATGGACAGGTGGCCGCCTATGTGGCGCGAATGGAGATTGTACAGCCCGAAGCTTTGAGAGTCACACGCGCACACAAGGCCTTTCAAGGGTGTGCACGAGCACTGCGCTCGCGTAGCGGCACGGTGGGTGATCTCTACATGGAGAGCTTCATGAGCGACAAAGTCTCGTGCTTTTGGTCCCATTCCTGGCATGGCAGGACGTGGATGAAGATCCTCTCCCTCATGATGCGTTACAATGGCTTGCCATCAGTTCTGGTCGGCTCCTTCACCGCTTTGATCATGATGGGGCTGTTTGCCGGTGGCCTTTTGCCCGAAATCAGTCGCTCTAGCTGGTCACATGAGCATTGGTCAACCTGGTCACTAGCCAGTGGCTTCATAGCAGCTGTGATCACATTTCTCTTGTGGCAGCCACGGCAACTGGTCTTTTTTGACCGAATTTGCATCAACGAGAATGACGATGATGAGAAGTTTGCGAGCATTTTTAGTTTGGCGGGCATTCTGAAAAGGTCAGACAAAATGCTTGTTCTTTGGGATGCCACATGGGGCGATCGGTTGTGGTGTTTGTTCGAGCTGGCTGCTTTTGTGAAAAGCAAACACGTGAGTGAACAAGTGCTTCTCATCAGACCGACATTTCTTGGTCCATGTTCAATCGTGCTTTTTGGTGGCATGTTCCTGGTGATGCTGCCCTTGACAACCGTTCCAATACCCGATCCTGCCCGTTTGGGGGATTACTTTATACTCATCCCCCTCTCTGGTGCAATGGTTTTTCTATTCATCACCGGATACTTCATGGTTGCCGCCTTCCGCGGGTATTTCCGCTCAGTCAGGGCCTTGCAGGTGAAATTGCGCAACATCAGCTTTGACAACACCAGATGTTCCTGTTGCGATGCAGGCCATGTACAAGACGGAACTAAAATCTTGTGTGACAGGCAAATCGTCAAGGAATGTGTGTCTATTTGGTTTGGTAGTTCAGAGGCCTTTGAAGACTGTGTGCGGTCTGCCGTTTTGGAGACGCTGGTTGCAGGATTGCAGGAGAGAATTTTCACCAGAGGGTGGAGCCTGTCAGTGTCAGTTCCCCTGCTTTGGGCCTTCCTTGATTTGACGGTCTCCCATGCGATGGGCGGCCACAGAATTGTCGCCATCGCTCAGTTGGTTGAGGGCTTGGTTCTGTGGTTCCTTTGTGTCCCCATCTTTGCAGATGTGGGCATGTTCTTTTTGCGCAGGTATTGCCAGCAAGGTGCTTCCACCATTCACGAGATTCTAGAGAACGTGAAAGTTGAGCTGATAGGAGTTGCTTGCTTTTGTTTCGTGGCCGGAACTTGGTTCTTTCTGTGCTCAACACGTCCCGGGGATGAACGGCATGCTGCGGCTGCGTTATTTGCGGGAGTGTGGGGCACATTGGCACTAGGCCATTTCATGTACAAAGTTTTAAGAAAGCATGGGCAAGAGCGCTAGATCTCCTGCCTGATCGGCACAAATTATGCTTGAACGGCATGTGGAGAAGTGAAACAAGGACGAAATAGTCACACGGTTGCATCGGGGGTTGCAGGGTTGCAGTCCGTGGCGTTAGGTAGAAGATGTAGAAGCACATTGGCATGCAGGATTGTATCCAGACAATATATGTGTATACTGTAATTGCATATGGCATATGCATTATAATGGACAGTGGGGAGGCCAGGAAGATCCGAGCGATGATTTTGGGCCTCTATGCGCAGGACAATCCCTCAAACCCTTCAAAGTAGTAAGTGTGTATATGTGTTTCACAGTTGGCAGTGGACTTTACCATCAACACGTGTTTCCTGCTGCAGGGCGACAACTCTTAGTTCTGGCTCAACGATTCATTCATGTCCTGTTCTTTGGATTCGCTAGCTGTACATGATAGATGTATGGTTGGAGAGTCTTGATCCTTCGAAGTCCCACCTTTCACAGGCGGCGTTCACAGGCTTTGCGCTGCAAGAAGCCGTGGTCTTCGTCAACCGATCGCTGAGGATCCGACTCCACGGGACTGGACCCGGGGGGTTGGGAGCGTTGCGATTTTTACCCTCTTTGGGCATGTTGGAGACCTTGCCAGATCAGAAGTGTTTTGAAGAATTCCTGCTGAGCTATTTGGTTGAGCTTCACCCATCGAGGATGTCGAGGGGAGAATAACTCATGACCACCCTCTTGGCCACAGTCAATTCATGAAGTAAACCTAGATCAGATAATTCAATCATGTTCAACCACTCCATGGCATGATGCGGGCTCCGAAGACTGAGCGCCGTGAGGCGGGTCCTGCAGCTGGGTTTGGGCGCAGCTTCCGTGCCTAACTTCTTGCGGTCCCGGCGGATCCAGGCAGGGGTGCGCACCAGTGCACGTGGTGGACATTCGCACTGCGAGCTTGTTAAGTCATGTTAAGTCGTTTTTGGAGACCGGGGCAACCAGAGAGAAGCTCAAGGGATGTAGTGCTTCCAAAATGTTTGGCAAGTTGTTTAGATTCCTTTCATGCATGGATTGCTGGGTGAGCGATTGCAGCGATGCGAGGCCCTCACAGTTGGATTCCATTTTTTGGGAAGCGGAACCGGAACCCCACAGAAAAGAAGATAAAGGAGCGAGCGGGGAGATTGAGCAGGATTGGAATGTGAAGATTGCCTTCCTTGCGAGGCATTCCTAGAGGTCAGGTGATTTTGTTCGCAACCTGGAAGGGTGGAGCAAATGTGGGCTGTGCTTGAAATACATTTAGTTGTTTACCCTGACTGTGTATGAGTGGAAGACCCTTTTTGGCGCCCGAAGCCCTAATGCCCAAGAGAAGAGGTGTGAACAAAGCCAGGCTTGTAGGCTCAAGAGCAACGGCAACACCACATCCGCCCATCTTGATTCAGGTGGATGTCGTTGAAGTGTCAGAGACAGTGATTGACATGGCTGAGAAGCATTTTGGTTTCAGCTCCTGCAGAAGAGGCAACACAAAAGCCTGCCAACAAAGACTCGTGAATGAAGTTGGTATATTTAGTTAGCTATTTTGTAGAAAGCAGCTGATGGACAAACAAGCTCCAGAAAATGGACCGTGGTTTATCATTGCTGCCTTATTGGTGACCAACTGCCAGGAATCCAGGAAGTCACAGTAACTCATACTGAAAGGCTTTCCAAGGAGCAGTTTCAATGTCCTTTTCAAGAATTCCATTCATTCGTTTTTGACCTCGGTCTCACCTGAGGATTCGGCCGCACTGTGCAGGGAGATGGTAGGGAGTTCCTTTTTGGTCGCGATCGGCGAGTCTTGGAGCACAGAACGGATCCAGGTCTTTGGGGCACCGAATCACCATAGTTCACAATAGTTGCAAAACCAGATGGAGGCAGACATGTTTCGGAAATTGCTGGTCTATCCAATTGTCTTCATTGTACTGGAGTGTGCAGGGAGAAATTTGTTGATGTTTGACCCCCATTTAAGGCCAAACAAGATATCTTGTCTGAGAGAGGGTGTGAGCTTATCAGTGGAACAGTGGGCCTGTGCTGTTTGAATTGTCCATCTTCATCTACATAATTTGCACTGGGATTTGATTTGGCCAGTGTTCTTTGCACAATTGTTCCTGTCTTGGGCTCTCAGCGGCTCCCAAATTAGTACAAAGTTTGCATTAAGTTCATGCGGAGCTGGGATGAGCTGGGCAAGTGGAACAGTAGCAGGATGGCTTCAGTTTGCCCCGGATTGAATGCTATTAGTGAAGGGTCAAGGCAGGGAATACACTAGACTTTTTGAGCCTGCCACGGAACAGTCTTCAGGGGACTGCAACGCAATTCTTCGTGATGTTCAGATGAGTTCTAGGAGTTGTTGAAGTACTACTTGGAATTGCCTGCAAGCGGTTTCAGCTGACTGTGTGTGTGTTGCCCTGCTATGGCCCTAATTATTGGCGAGAGTAGCTCGCTCACTCCCAAATTCAGTTGCACATGTCACATATATATATATATTATATAGTCAGATTCAAGCTTTTGCTCATCAGGGAGCCCTGGAACCTTTGTTCTTGTCTATAGTCTATATGTCTATTGAATTGAAGTGACCCTGAAGGAGGTCAAACAAGTTTGCAAGAGACTAAGGATATGATTTGGTCATTAGTGACGTGTGCCTCGGACCGAGGAGGAGGGCTTGACTACTGAACTTAGATGACATGAATTGAAGCGTTGATTGAAGTGAAACCAGCACAACCCTGCGTGACCTTGAAACCATGCGAAATCGATGACCCGGAAACATTTTTTGGAATTCTGTGCTTGAGCACATGCAGAGATACCTGTGAACCGATGGCCACCCTACAAAACGACTAGGAGGAATCAAATCATTTAGCGTCAGGAAATGAGAGAGAGGGAGAGGGGGAGGAATCGTGTTCCCTCCAAGTGGGGTCCCACTCCTGCCCTAGTAGCATCCTTGCTACTAGTAGCTTCTTGCTCCTAGTAATGGCCTCCAACCTAATAGCCATGGCATCCACCTAGTAGCGTCGTTGCTACTAGGAAATCAGTGATTGGGGATGAGAATGCGGATGACGTGGGCTCTTCCGCGTTCGCCACGGAGCTCGAGGTTTGTGGGGTCCAACCCTGGGCATCTTCACAGCCTGGAGGTCAGGGGGTGCGAATTCCAAACTGGTTTGCTGCAAGCCAGACACGTGTCGGTGCATGGTGAGGTAGAAGAAGATGTTGCGAACTTGTTGAGTTGCTGTTTCAAGAAGTTTGGAATTTGAGAGATCTTGAGAGATCACTTTCCTGAGCAGGGGATTGCTTCAAGAACCATGGGGGGCAGCCAATTGTCGAACCATGTGAAACTAAAGATTCAGCACTGGTGCACTGCACTTCCCCCATGCTGGGCAGTGGAGGTCTTCCAACGGATTCAGCAGCAGTGGCTTTGGCCATCTGGAGTGCTCATGGTGAACTTTGTCGGCCTCTGGGCGGATGGAGAAGGAAGATTTGAGCCTGAGGTGGGAAGTTGCACAAAGGACAATTAGCAAATAAATTCCAACACACATCAATGTAACAGGCATTTACAGTATACATTCCGATCCCCTGAGAGCAATGGAAAGAGCGATATATACATTGTGCCTGCACCGCGGGTTCCAAATCTGCGCCGCACCGATACACCGATATCCCCCCAGCCCCGGATATCGGCGTATCGGCGCCGCACCGATATCCCCCGCATGCACACTTCCATACCCTGTCATCTACCAAACCCTGCCCAACTGTTCAACAGCGTGTCATGTGCGAACCTATGAAATAGATGGGTGAAGGAAGACCCGAAATGGGGAACTGCAAACAAGGTTTGCAGAAAGGCCTCGATTTATTTTGGAGGGCCTTTGGGAAGATATACAATGTAATCAGCATATTCCACTGGTTGTGGTTTGCAGCCCACCTTTTTTGGAATTAACATGAGTACACCACTTATCGCGATATCATATCAAAGTGATTCAGTGTTTAAGTTCTCAGGCTTTCATTCTGGCCACCGCAGCCACATCAGCCGGAAGCTCGCGCGCACCTTGCGCCATGCTCCTTGGAACTCAACCACGTGATCAGCCACAGGGTCACCCACAGCCTTATAATAGAAACAACAGCTCAGCTCCTTGGAATCCAAAGATATCTAATCTAAAAGGTTTTTGATTTCAATGAGTTGTTTCTGAGATGGGAAGGTTAGGAGTGGTTAGGGAAGAAGGGAAGAAGCTTACAACATATTTTTGGAAGGTGAGCGAGGACGGGCATTTTTTGGCGCAACCAGCCAAGATTCGTGTCATGAGGGCTCCCAACTCATCGGATTCCATTTTTCTGTTGTAATTTCCAACTGTGCTTGACGATTCCTTTTCTGAGACACATCAGGCTTGTCGAGATTTTACCCCGCCACCACAACACCAGTGTTCCTTCGTGAAGGTTCAAGAGCAAAAATTATTTCCCCTTAGATTCATGCTAAAGAGCCGTCGAATTTCCTCCCTCCAAAGCTGGTCAAAGGTTGTCGTTATAGCCTAAACTAGCTGTCACTAGCTGCAACTAGCTTAATGGCTGAATTGACTGCCCCCACTGGCCACTCCAAGTGGACTTGCTAACTGCTAATTCATGGAAGAAGAAGGAAAAGCAAACGTGTATACTATCGATACAGTGCTTTCAGAGTAGATTGCACAAACCCCAAGATGTCCTTATATGGGGTACACATAAACCACCTTTTGGGGATTGTCCCATCTACTCTGTGGATACATATGCATATTGATGTAGCATGATATCTCTTTCTTCCTGCCAACTGGCAGATGTGCAGAGCACTTGAGCATCCACCCATGATCCTCCTCCAAACTGAGGTCTTCGCAACGACGCGCTGTTTCCGTGATGAGGATCCGGCGGAACACCTGGACGCCGCGGCCAACTTGGTGCGAGTGAAGAATGGTTGAAGATCGGAGTAAACCTGCCACAAGGGTTTGACCTTTACATCCAGCCACACACTCCGCAGGTATGCTTGGCCTCAGACCAGGCGTTCCATTTCAACGTGCCAACGACCGGTGACTTCAGCAACCCAGCGCCCTTCTCCAGCGTTTGGGTGATGAAGCATTTCCAACAGTGGCAGGCGACGCCTGCGCTATGCGCTCACGAGCGCATAGACGAGCCCCCCAGCTGAGAGTTTCAAGCACATAGCGGGACACAGCCCATGCAATCCATGTCCATTCTCCACTAAAAATTAGATTTTCGAGTGGGCGGGCGGGTCATCACAGCGTGCCACCTATACTTTCTGCAAGGCTGGTTTGCGAAAATGATGTTTTGCCCTTGCACCGAAAAGCGCCTTCAGAGCCGCCCTCGGATGCCGAGCCCTTCGCACAGCGAGTTCGTGGGCGCTTGGAGCAGACACTATTCGAATACTTGAGAGGTCGAGGTTAGGGTAGAAGTGGGGCGCGCATTCAGAGGGCACACACCTTCTGAGGTGCTGACTAAGACTCGATCGAATAGTCTATGGGTGTGTGTAATCATGTGTAATCTACTCTGAGACTTTAGGAGTAGGATGGAGTAGGCAAATATATAATGCAGTGCAAGAAGACCTTCATTGACGCAGGTGTTGCCTGCTGAGGATGGCAATGAAAGCATCTTCCAGGACCATCCTGATAGCAAGTTCTTCATTTGATGCCTGGGAGTGCTTTGTTTCATATTCTTAAATGCCGCCTCACCTAAAAAGTCTGCGCAACATATCTATCTATCCATCTATCTATTTATAATATCTATTTATCCAGCTCCATATGTATATATGCATACATTCTTAAATACACGTGTCTTGATATGGCTGGGTTCTTTGCCCTGCAAGCATTTGTGACTTGTCCTGGCTTCTTTATAGTGTACCAGAATTGGTTGCCAACCATAAACCAGTTCAGATGTTCTAAGGCTTTGTTACTGGCGACTAGCGACTATAAGCGTGGGCCTTTCTTATCCGTTCTTCCAGATCCGTGTGGTCATAGTGACTTGATGGTGAAAGCTTGGTGTTGATCTGCTCGGATGAGCTGCAGTTTCTGCAGGATTCACAGAATGAGCTGCTGGAGATGGACTCCCAAGCTGAGATTCAAGCCCATTTTTGGTCACATGCTCAGATGCTTGGCTGTTATCCCCTCGACTATTTAATACGCGTGGCGCAGACATTGTAGGTCTGACTCCTGGGAACATGGGTGGCGTGGTCAGTTTGCGGTTTTAGGTATCATTCCGCATTGAAATGTTGATATAGAACAACTTAACCCAATAGGTATTGGTGATGTTGGAATGCTGGGTTGAGCAAAGCTTGGAAGGTTGGTGGCTACGGCTGGGTTTTGGTGCCTGCGATATGCAGTTACAATAAGCTTCATGAAACTAGATGTTGAGAGAACCCCACCTGATTCATGGCGCGGTGAGACGCCAAGTATGATGTTGATGCCGATGGTCATGACAAAGACGGCGTTTGTCAGATGGAAAACTACATGGCTTCCAACGACCCAAAAATCAACATTGCATTGTCCTGATCTCTGTTTAATTTTTTTGATATGTATGTATGTAATGTAATGGTAATGGTAACGGTAACGGTAACGGTAATGGCAATGGCAATGGTAGTGGTAGTGGTAATGGGTAAGGTAGGTAGGTATGTATGTATGTATGTATGTATGTATGCATGTATTATTGCATTATTGTATTGTATTGTATGGATATGGTTATGGTTATGGTGGTGGTTGTGGTTATGGTATGCATTTGTGCATTAATGTATGTAATGTATGGAATTATGTATGTATGTAATGTATGGAATTATGTATGTATGTAATGTATGGAATTATGTGTGTATTGCATTGTAATTGTATTGTATTGTAATGTATTGTATTGTATTGTATTGCATTGTATTGTATTGTATGTAATGTATGTATTGTATGTATGTCATGTTATGTTATGTTATGTTATGTTATGTATGTATGTATGTTTGTTATGTATGTATGTATGTTTGTTATGTATTATTTTTTCCTAGAGGTGCCTTTTCGTCTGCAGAAGTCTCTGTGCCCTTTTGGCAGATCAGCAGCGCTGCAGCGGCTGAACTTGTTCGTGATGTCCTAGAAAAAGTCCACCGCCATCTCAGCTTCATCCTCCTCGTCATTGGCCGTTTGTTATGTATGTATGTTTGTTATGTATGTATGTAATGTAATGTAAGGTAAGGTAAGGTAAGGTAAGGTATGTATGTATGTATGTATGTACGTAGGTATGAATGTCCTTGACTGGGATAAACCTTCATGGATGACAGCACGCTGCCCGAAACATTTAATCCTCAAGTTCCTTGTTTTTTGCTGGGGCCAGTCCCCACATGGAACCAAGACTCGCCTTTTTGATCGGAGTGGTGGTGACACAAGTGTTCAATCAGCGTCCAGTCCAGCTAGATCAGGCCGAACTCATCCTGCTCAAAAACGAGATAGCTCACACCCGCGCTTCGTTGGACGAGTATCATACCATCCAGGCGGAGTGCAAGTGGAACGAGAGGGTTCAGGGTCTCGTCATTCGGGCAAACCTGATTTTTGACGTGTTGATCTTGATCTATTTTCTGGGACGGGTGTGCGGACGAAGGCCAACTACCCTCCCCTGACACGTCCGAACACCGGAGGTTCTTCGGACAGCGAGGGGCCAGACACGGTTCCTGGGTGTGAGAAGACCATTTCTCGGACTGGTGTGAGAGATCGTCAGTTGGCTTTGGTGAAGTCTAGGCCAACTAGACCCTCAGATCTTAAGTGATGGACGACTACACTCTGAACATCCCGGAGGTGCAGATAGTGGTGAACTACCCCCATGATGGTGGGGGATATTTTTGGCATCATCGCATACTCCTTCATCGCATTGAAGGAGGAACGTGGCTCACGCTCACTCCCGATCACGACATCCAGAGACACGATCTCACCACCACTCGTCACAGGATCCTTGATCGAGCTGCTCCTTTTCCAGAAGGCATTGCTGGGGAAATTTACGCCCACGATGTGATCGGCAAGGCTACATTGGATGGCTACAAGCGTCAGGCAGTCGTCCAAGCGGCTATCCTCGGAGGGGGCAGCGTTGGAGAGAGTGAAGCCTTTGTGTGGTTGGTGACAGAACATGGCCATGAACTTTTTGGCAAGGAGGTTGACCAGGCTTTGCTCCGGAATGGAGCAACAGGTGTGGCCTTTTCGTCAAAGGGTGTCATCATTCTGGACGGAGAGGAGGTCTTTGTCGAGAAGGTCGGCCGCAATGGGATCAATGACTGGCGAAAGCGGAGGGGCCTTGACATGTCCGATGAAAGGCTGCTCGGTGATTTCAAGGACGAGATCGGCAAACGGAACTTGGAGTTGGTGAAGGCGGTTCCGTTGATGAAGGGGCCGACGATTGCTGATTTCCCCATCAGTGGGACACGTGCTGCCAGGGAATTCCTTGAATCCATTGCAGGGGGAGCTCATACGTTGCTGACTTACCACAGCGAATGGCTTCGCAACTCTGGAGTGGGACGGAAGTCGAGTGCGGCACATGTTCACAGAGGACTGATGGAGTCCTTGCGCCTCATGATCAGCTTTGACCAGCTGGACCCTTCGGCGCTGGCAGTGGGAGAGCACCTTTGCAGATGGGCCATTCAGACAGAACTGGCGGTTGAGCGATGTCCTTCAGCACCGGACTACACCGGACTGGATATCGTATCCGGATCCTCTCTGCTCCCCGATGGCAGGGCCAACACCACAAAGTTCACCGAGTTCTTGGCACAGCGGCTCAAAGACCGCGCCTCTGTGTGGAAGCAGGAGCGCCTCTATGCTCAGGAACGTCGATTGCAAAGAGGCAAAGGCGGAGGCACAAATGATGATGACGAAGGAGACGGAGCCAAAGGACCTGGCAAGAGCAAGAAGAAGAAGAGTGGCGGCGGCGCTCCAGCAGAAGGCGCCGCCGCTGCATCCAAGTGAGGGTGACATGGAGTTAGATGCCACGGGGGCGATTGGCCCTCCTGACTCTGAGGACGTGGCAGATGCATGGTTTGAATTCAGTGTGCGGCGGCCGTCACCCCATCGACGGCACGGAGATCCTTTTCCTTTGCCGAGGTTGGGGAAGCAATCGGCCGGCAGCCAGCACCATTTATCGCCCACACGGATGATTGACCGGGCTGTGAAGTCGTTGAATCAGCTCGCCTCATCTGGGGCTGTTTTTACAGAGACACCCTCGAGTTCCTTGCCTCTGACAGATGTACAGCGTTGGGTGATGGAGGAGATCTCTCGACGAGTCGAAGCGATGGGGCCATGTCCGGATGACTTGACAGAGGATCTGGCCGTAAAGGAGCTTGGGAAGGGAGCAAACCTGTATGAGCAGGCGGCCGACAACTATAACCTTGCCGAATTCGACATTGACAAGATCAAGATCCTGAAGCGGAAGCTAGACCCGGCACTGGCCAGGGAACTTGCTCCTCCCGAAGTCCAGGGGTTTTTGGACAACTTTGACACGCTGGTCCAGCGACCGGTGGGTGAACTCGACGCCTTAGCGTCCTCTGGAACTTTAGTCGAACCCTGTTCGGACCCAAAACTGAAGAGAAGTCTGGGTAAGAGGAAACAACTTTACAAAGCGTTGTATGATTCAAACCTTTTGACTTTTGTCCGCAGGAGGAAAGCTCGTGTCGGTTTTTTCACTGTCAAAAAGAAGGACTCCTGGATTAGACTGATACTTGACGCAAGGCAGAGCAATGCGTGTCACAGATGCCCACCTCAGGCAAAGCTTGGGACCCCAGCTGGTTTAGCATCCATCGATCTTTCTCACAGAACACTGGAGAGCAGAGGTTTTTCTTTTGTGGACAGCGAAGATGGTTTGCCTACTGCCATGACAGGTGATGTAGGAGACTGTTTTTACAACTTTGTCATACCGGCTGCTTCAGAGTGGTTTTGCACAGATGATGTTTTTTCAATCGATGACATACACGCCATGGGGATTCAGATCGAGCAAGTGTTCGACAGCAGAGCTGGGGGATGGACCATCGGTTGCTTCGGCCTCACCGTTGAACGTTGTTTACTGCCATGTGTGTGGAAACCAAAACGTTGTTGGACGAGGTTGGTGTTGGAACTGCAAGAGTAGTCTTGAAGAGCCCGAGAATGGTACGGACCCTTTTGAACCACCATCTCATGAGAGGTATATGTACCCAGTGCCTACGCGACCCTCTAGTGTCGCGACCATCAGGGAGCCTGTCAACTTGCAAAGGAACATGGCGTCGCATGAAGGACCATCCCATGCAGAAGTTCCTCTTCCTCGAGCCCCTGGCGGTCCGGGACCGTATGGCATGCCGTGTGGTGCATTGCATGATGGTTCACATGTTCATCATCTTGGTGTTGATCCCAGGTTGGTCTATGGAATGTCGACCCCAAAGGCTGTTTCAGAGTCAGGGAGTGCTCCTGTTCCTGGTGTAGGATTTCAACGGGCCGTTCCGGCCACGCCATCGTTCCCAAGAACTTCAATGGGACCGGCTTACCCACCAGGGGGGTACATCGGCACTATTCCAGAAGCACCTCCACGTGTATCTTCATCGAGTCACCCACCAAACATCTCCATCGCAACTCCTCGCAAGAAGGATTCATCGGAGTCCGGAGGTGGATCAGGGAGCTCGGATGGTTCATCCGATGAAGGCTCAAGAATGCCGGCAGGCAACCCTCCTGAATCTTGGTTGCTTGACGGTGAAACCGAACACAACGTGTACAAAATCAAGCACTTGAGAAACGTCTCAATCACCAAGTTGCCAACAGATGCAACATCTTGTAGAGAGTGGCGTGCTGCATTGCTTGCGTCGGTGTCGCGCATTGATCTCACTGCGCGTGATGTGTTGGTCAAGTACACAACGCATTGCATGGATGCTGGACGAGGTCGGACTTTCAGGGCTACGCTCCAGAATGACCGGTCGTTCATCCCTTTCAACAAGCACATCGCCGCCGAGCTCATCAAGCAGGACGTCCTCTCCACCAACACGGATTTGGCCCATGAGCTCACTTCCTATGTTGAAGCGTGTACTGCAGTCAGCCAAGGTCCAAAAGGAATGGCGTTGTTGAACATTGTCGCGTCGTATTATGAGACTGGGTTGACTCATTCGGTTGCGCTTGATCA